AAGTCATACTTGTAGTAAACATGACTATAGTGGTTTGAAAACATGAGAATATCATCCAAGTAGACAAAGATTAAGCAATTAAGGAAGTTCCCAAAGCACATTATTTACCAACGCCTGGAAGACAACCAGAGCATTGGTAAGTCCAAGTGGTGTGACAGGGTAGATGCCCCAGGTGAGTATAGAAGGTAGTCTTCCACTCGTCGCAATCGTAGATGTTTCGGAAAAGATCGTGGCTCTTTGCAGAAGAAGTTAAAAGGGAGAAGATAACAGATGTAAAGGTTGTTTGTTTTTAACAGTTCAAACCTCTAAAGTTAATGCAAGAAATCCAGCTCCAGGGACTAGGACGAGGGTGGGATGATGTCAGCAGCTAATGAATGGTGGGTGTATTTTTCCATTGGCTCGTGGTCTGATTTGGTGAGACTGTATAGGCAGCTTAGGGGCAGAGATCGGGCACCAGGTAAGGATGTCAATAACACAATTGTATGGTTGCTGGGAGGCAGCGAGAGCCAATCGTGATGTTCGGTCAGGATGGAAGACAAATGTGGACCCTCTAAACCGATTTGTAAGACAACAGCTTCTCCTGGAGGAAACATAGACTGCAGACCAAAGTCATCACAACTCTTGCAGCCAAATGCAGGACACTGAAGTAAAAGTTTAACAGGTACAGAAGAAAAACACGTAATATCCGTAATACAAAGAAGTATTTTCTGAATGGAGTTGGCAGAGGGACAGGCAGATTATTCCCTAAGATGAAAGTTCAGGTGGATTTCCTGAATTATCCATGGATGTCCGGTTAACTTGGACTAATAGGACATCCAAGTTAGTCCAGTGTAGGCAAAACGTGGTACATGTGGAAGCCACAGTAAGTACAATGAGCTGGCATCGAGGGAGGGATTTCTACAGCCTTAAGTAGCAGGAAGGGAATGACCAGCTGCACACAGCTGTGTTATTATAAGAGGAAGAGAGGGAGACAGACAGTGGTGCGTTCACACAGCTGGACTCCCAAAGGGTGGTAGAAATGATGCCATCCTTTTTGGGCAGATAGTCGTAATGTGTGAGATGGAGGAACATGATCCTTTATTTTTCTGGTTGATAAATATGAATGACATGACATTTAAACTCCAAAGTGTGTGTAGTATTTGACCATGTGTTATCAACATTTTTGTAAACAATTATGAATATCGAGTTATGGAATATAGAAGATGTTTGACTGCACATTACTGGCTGGGACACCGGTTGAAACCTAACGTGTGTGTGCTGGCAGCACATTATTAAAGGATCACACATAAACATAGAGTAACACACAAACTACCCTTAATTCAAGAATGTACACAGAGACTCTCTGTATTCATTATGCAGACAGTGAAAGAACAGGATTTGGGAAGATGGGATATGTCCCTGAGGGATGGAGCAACAGACTTCAATCACATGATGAATATTGAGCATCACACTGCTGGCTGAGAGTGAGGTTTGCTATGCTTGTGTTATAGCAGCAGAGACTAAACATGCACTCAGAGGTGTCTGAGGCTGGTCCTGCCACCTTCATCAGCTCAGTGATGGGTCTGGATTCGTCTCATTCTCAGCAGCTCCTTTGTAGACACTCACACTTTAATCCGTTATAGATCTGCATCGCAAAGTCAGCTGCAGGCAAATCAGTTTCACATAAGCCTGGATTCTGCAGCTGGATTGGATCAAAGCTTTTTAGTCTAAACTGGTTACCTCAATGATTTAGAGGAGAAAAATACATGAAAGGTAAAAATGTTTCATACATTATATGTGGGATGATTATTTATTTTTGCTTCAAAGGTGCTAACATAACATCCAATGCCATCGTGTGCAGTTTCACGTGAAGCCAAAAACACTCTGGAGACCAAAGTGTGAATAAAAGGCCACAAACAAAAATAACGTGTGGCTAAGTTTGATCTAAGCTTTTGCCATCCGTGTTCCCTTGGTTAACTTAAACAAACAGTTTTTTTCTTAATCAGATTATTTTATTTATTTCAAAATAAGCCAGAGAGTGTTGGACCTCAGTGACTGCACAGAGCCTGCCAGGATGCACAATAACAGTCCTGGTTGATTCAAAAACAGAGGCTGTGTAATGGAGAAAGTGAGTCAAGCTGCAAAGAGAAATGAATGTTTTCTTTGTGCGCATTAATCCGTCCTCGTGTCACATCTGCAGACCGTAAAGTAGCAGAGTCCACGCCGACCTTCCTCTCACCATCAGGAAGTGAGAGCTCCAAAATGGTGCTGCGAGATGAGCAGCTGCTGCTGGAGTGTATCGCTGCTGGCCTGTGAGTCACACACACACGTACTGCGTAATGATAAGATTTATACTTGTTTGAAAAGTGAATAGTGGCACATGAACCTGAATGTTGAGGTCTTGTCGTTCCTCCCGTTGCTTTCTCCTCCAGTCCAACACCCATCATCAAGTGGTTTAAGAAAGGTGGGGAGCTGCCGGGGCAGAAGGTCAAGTTTGAGAACTTCAACAAGACCCTGAAGATCGTTAGTGTGTCAGAGGAGGACGCTGGCGAGTATGTGTGCATGGCCAACAATCATTTAGGCACCATACGCCACTCCATCTTTGTTCAAGTTAAAGGTGAGTAGGCTGTGCTGGCTCTGTGTTTCTTGAATGTGTAACTGGTGCTAACATGTTGGCCTTGTGCCCAACAGCGGCTCCTTACTGGTTACACAAGCCATCAGACCAGGTGCTAGCCCCAGAAGAGAATGGACGCCTGGTATGCCGGGCCAATGGCAACCCTAAACCTCGCATTGAGTGGCTCGTCAATGGGCAGCCTATAGAGAGTACGGTTCTTATTAATTATTGTTACAGAACATCAGCCTTGTTTGTGATGAATAAACCGGAGCACAATTGTAATGTACTCACTGAAAATGCTGCATAAACAGCAGTATATACGACAGCTACCAACAGTCTTCTCTTTGTCTTCCTGTCTGAACCCCCCTCCGCCCGACTGCAGGCTCTCCCACCAACCCAAACAGGCAGGTCCATGGAGACACCATCATGTTTCACTCTGTGCAGATTGGAAGCAGCGCCGTGTACCAGTGCAACGCCTCCAACGAGCATGGCTATTTGTTAGCCAACGCCTTTGTCAACGTTCTTGGTGAGACACAGAAGCTTGATTTCCAAAGGGAAACAGCAGTGAGCCTGTTAGCTCTGCACATCCAGAGTGTGCTGTAGCTCACTGGCTTCAGGACTGGTTTTAAAAACCTTTTTAAACCTTATCCAGACGTGACCACAGTGGTTACACTGCCAGGTCAAAGTTTGGACTAGTTTGTTTTGTTCTTTGTAGATTTTAATCAAAGTTCTTGTGACTGGAGCAGGCAGCACTTTGTGCAGGAGGACAGATGATGACCAAATTAGTGTTTGGAAAACACACCTGTGTTGTGTTGCTTGTTACTACTATTTATAATGATATAATCATTGCTGTGTCGCCAGATTTAACATGTAAGCTTAGAAGTTACCCAGACATGTGGTGACCCCTGTTGATCGAGTCCTTAGTTTAGTTTGCCAGCACACAGACAGTGTTACTCTTCACCTTTATCTGGTTTGGAGTCATAGTCTCCACCTGGACTGGATGCCAGTGTTCTCATTCATCATAAAGTACCACTGACAGTCAGTAGCTGGTACTTTTATTTGCATCTTGGAAAAAGGTGAAATATACTCATACATATTATTGAGGAGGTTTAAATGTTGCTCCTAATGACTCCTCACGAGCCCATTTCCTCCTGCACTTCTTATCTTGACATAGCAAGAAAAATGAGTCATGAGAGATTGCCTAATTAAAGATGTATTACAAAGTAATACATGTGTTATTGTCAGTCTACCTCTCTGACCTGTGTGATGTTTGTGTGATGTATGTATGGTTGGCAGGGTTGGTGTGCCTGCATCAACCAGCCTGCTGTAGCCCATATGTGCCTTAGGGATTAATGACGTATTGTGGTTCTGAGAGACGACATGAAATCACTGACATTTTGTCTAAAGATAACAAAAACAACAGGATCAGTTACATCTCTCTGATCTTCTGCCCAGGTTTAGCTGCTACTATAAACATACTGAGAGTTATAGGAACGAGTGCTTGTTGAGAAGGAGCCAGCTGACCTTCACACTGGACTTATGCTTGAAGCGTGATGGTTGTTGGATACCTTATCATGCACTGCAGCACAGTGTTAGCTCACACAGAAACCTGCTGTAAAAAAAGAGTTTTTCTAAAATAACCATAATTGTGTCTGTTTGATGAAATGCTGGTAAGTGTGTGTAAGGATGAAGCCTGGTGACGATGCACTGTAATCCTTTTTCCTGTAGACCTGCCCCCGAGGATGCTGGGCCCCAAAAACCAGCTAATCAAAGTCATTAAGAACAACCGCACCTTCCTAGACTGCCCCTTCTTTGGTTCGCCTTTACCGGAGCTACGCTGGTGAGCATCTTTGTCCAGGAGAACGACAGTGAGTCAGCGGCAGTATCAGCTGTTAACCATGTGTTGTTATCATGTGTAGGTTTAAGAATGGACAGGGCAGCGGGCTGGATGGAGGCCAGTACCGAGTTTACATTAACGGTACCCTGGAGATAAAGCGGGCCCGAGCAGAGGACGAGGGAACCTACACCTGTGTGGCCAGCAGCATCTTGGGAAAAGCTGAAAACCAAGTGCGCCTGGAGGTCAAAGGTTAGATGTTAAAAATGAAAAGTGAATGAATGACATAAGATCTGCTTGAGCAGGTCTGTGCCTGTTCTGAATGACTTCCCTGTGCCAAGCAGCCTGCACTCTGGGCCTTTGCTTAAACGTTAAACTGTGACAGCGTGAGAACGTCAACATGCAGAACAACTTGTTTCATCCAAGCCTGTCTCCAGTGAGCATCAGAGCCGACGATGGAAATAACAGCTCACCTTACATGTCAGGGTGCATTAGTATGACTGTTGGAGCTATTTGTCGTCCTGTCTGCGTCACACGTTACACTTAGACCAGAGGAGAAGGGCAGAGGGTGGTGGGACGTACAGAGCACCTGACTTTGCTGTTGGCATGCTAACTGTACTGTGGATCTTTACACAAAGGGATTTTCATGCAAATACAGTCTCCATGATTCAATTTTCTTGCACATTTTCTTTATCTGAATCTTTGCAGCTTCATATTGAACAGAGATGGAAAGAATAAATGAGTCTTGTTTTGGATGAGACTGTGGCGCCTGACCATGCAGCTCCACACAGTATTATCTACCACTTGTGTTACTGGATGTGTCTAAAATGTTCATGTAGTGCATTGCTCTTCATCTTCACTGTGACCCAGAGCCGACTCGCATCATTCAGGCCCCCGAGCACCAGTCAGCCACCAGGGGCTCCGCAGCTCGCTTCACTTGTAGGGTGACGTCTGACCCCAGCCTCCCCGTCAGTGTGACCTGGATGAAGGATGACAAGCCTCTTTACTTGGGATGGAGGTAATGACCCCTGCGTTTGCTCTTTTTTAACAACCTGTGCTGTCACCCTCTTTGTCTCTGCTTCAAGGCGGACTAAACATGGTTGTGGGAAAAGTTGTTTATTTGCTCTGAATCTAACAACAAAATTTAGTGAAGGGTATCGAACCCACTTCTTTTTATTCTTCTCCTGGACAGAGAAGACTCAGACTGGTCAAAGTATTTATAATCATTTTATTCAATCATTACTTTCCGGAAAGAGGATGTGCACGCTGCTAAGCATCGGCAGCTCTGAAGCATTAAGCCGGATGCGTACATCATAGTCTGTTATTTTGGCACTCGCAAGTCACACACAGTTTCGATCAAATCAACGTCTTTACCTCCGGCCTTACTTGATGTGTGTGTGTGTTGCTGGTAGAGTGATGACGTGTGCTGCCCTCTGCCTAGCTCCACTTCTTCTGTCTGCATCTGTTTCCTGTTCTTAATATCCCACCTCTGCAGCTCTGCACAAGACTTCCTGCTCTGCACAGCTCCAGTCTGGCTGAGCAACTGGTTTGTGAGTCAAAGCTGGCCTGTTATTGAAATACATAAACAGAATAATCAGAAAATAAGCACTAAGAAAACATATATATTCCTTAACAAGGGTAAAGTGAATTAGCATCAGCTGTTGGCCTGGGTGTGGTTTTGAGGCTCTGTTACTAAAAATCTAGTTTTGTGACATGCAGGTGAGTCATAGTCCAGACAAGGACTCCTCCAGACCCAAAGCAGAACACATTCATGGTTAATTAGTGGCACATTAAAAAATGAGCAGTGCCCAATTGCCTTCAAACAACCAAAAGTGTTGCCTTGGCAACAATTGAGTCAGTCAGGTGAATCCTTTGACCCCTTCATCTCTACAGCGTGTGGCAATAAAGGATCAGTGTCGATGGGTCCATTAAATTACAAATGCTGTACTGGGACGTTGGGGAGTACCCCCACCTACATCACTCCAACCTACCCACTGATTCTTTCCCAGTAGCTATGTATAAAGCATTTGTAGTGAAGGGTGAAGGTTCAGGTTGAGTCAGCGGGTTTGTTCCAAACAGCCTTCACTGTCAGCTGGAGCGAGTGTGCAGCTGCAGAAGGTGAGACGAGTTTAAAACATGGCTGAGAAACAGAATCTCAACTGTTGCTAGAGATGCTGAGCAGGCCGAGACGTTATACATGATGATGGACTAACAAAAGCACATGGACTTGGTTTAAAATAAGCTGATTGAGCTACCTCTCATTTCTCCTGACGAGCAGCTGGCTATACTCAGAGGTGGGAGGTAATGAAGTACAAATACTTTGTTACTGTACTCTACTTGAGTAGTTATTTTTCTGGCAACTTATATAAATCAAATAACTATAATTGTGCAGTGTGCTAGTGATATATCAGTGGTTACTTCAGAGTGTTTGAGACAGACACAACCTCACGTGTCTGAATCTACAGTCATGATTTCATTTTGACTACTGTATTAACACAATTGATCCAAAATCAGGCAAAAAACATAAAATCCGTAGAAAAAGTTATATTTTTACTGTAACAACCACAAACATGTTTAATGATCATATTTCACAACTTTCAATGCAAATATAAATGGTCAATTTTAAAATCATATGGACAAGTTTTTCAAACAAAGTTATTTGCAGCCATTTCAAAATATTTACAGAACAATCAGCTGTTCTTCAATAAGATGCCCAATAAGACGCTCTCTCTCTCTCTCACTCTCTCTCTCTCTCTCTCTCTCTCTCGCTCTCGCTCTCTCTCTCTCGCTTTCTCTCTCGCTCTCTCTCGCTCTCTCTC